GGGCTGACCCCTGTGTGAATCCCGTACCTACCAGCTTGAGAATCATACTGGACTTGAGAATCACCCTGGGTGTGTGTGTATGAGTGTCCAAGATCCCAAGAGGAAAATGAAGGAGAAGGGGTTATGGGGTGGCCATTCCCCTGGGGGATGACTTCTCACTTTCTCTCTCTCTGTCATTCTCTGTTGAGTGCATGCACCATACGGCCAAAACAAAACAAAAAGAAAGAATAAGTTCAATTAAAATAGACAGTTCAGGGACCAGCAGATGGTGTAATGGTTTCATCACTGGACTCCCATGTAGTCGACCGCAGTTCAAGTCCCAGACACAACGGCTTAAGCTCATGCTGGGTATACATGTGTGTGAACCCAAAATCCCGAGAGGAGAATGGAGGAGAAGGGATTGCAGTGTGGCCCTCACCCCTGGGGGCTGATTTCTTGCTTTCTGTCTGTGTCTCTGTCTCTCTAGCAAGTGTATGTGCCCTATAGCAAATATCTCTTCTCTTTCTCTCTCTCAAAAAAAAAAAAAAAAGACAGTTCAGCTCTGATGGTATCAGTAGCTAGGGGCTAATGACTGTTGTACTGGACAGCACAGGTATCACATTGTCAAAGAACTTTATAGAAGTAGCAGTTTTGACATTGGTTGAAAGGGATAGAGTCTGGTAGGTCAGGGGTATTAAGTGCTTTGGACAGACAGCATATTAAGTCTCAGCAATTTGCTTATCCCCTGTTCTACTTTTCTCTCATCAGTCCCAAGGCGTAGGAGGCCTGTCTTGATCATAAAGTTAACCTTATAGATGCAAGAACAGACACAGAGGGACTTGACTTGTAAGTAGTTTTCTCCAGTTTATGGTACTCAGGAGAAGAGGAAATCCATATTGGCAAGAGCTAGGATGTTCCTGTACTTACTGACTCACTCTTTACCTTTGATCAGCCCATAGGAAAGCTCCAGGGCAGATGTAAGATAACAGGTCATTGTTAAATCTCCCATAGGTAGAAAAGGAAAGCAGGAAATTTAAAGTACAAAGGAGGAGGCCTGGTGTAGAACGAGCCTACTTTTTTGAAACATGTCAGAGTACTCAGATTTTTACCCTACACAAGCTGAGTTTGCGGGTACTCAGCCATGTCTCTCCACCTTCCCCATCCTTAATAACACATTCATGCCCTCGCCACTGTCTGGACATTTCATCTTTTTCAGCTTGCAGTTTTCCTCATTTGCACCCATTTCAATCAAGCCGGTTTCCACTGTGAATGAATTGGCCCACATCAAAATGCACTCTGATTTTTATCAGGATTACTTCTAGGGAATGAGTAAGTAGAATGCATTTATGGGCTTCAGCATTCATGAGGAGTCTGGTTCCATTTTTGGTATAGGAATTTTCCAAGTGAGAGTGGAGTTAAACTTTAGATTTTCCCTTCAAAATACAGACCTTGTTTCTTGCCTGTCATGGTTTTACATCTTTTCATGAAACAGTGAAAAGAGCTGTCACGGTGGTTAAGGTGCTGGACTCTAATATGACCAACTGCAGTTCAAGTCCCAGACATGGTGGCTTAAAAAATCATGCTGGGGCATGTGAGCATTCATGCCCACCAAAATCCCAGGAGAATGGAGGAGAAGGGACTGCAGCGTAACCACCCCTCTTGGGGGTGTGTGTGATTTCTCACTTCCCTTCTCTCTGTCTCTCTCTGGCAAGCACACATGCCCTATGGCAAAAAAAAAACTTAACAAAAAATGAAGAAATGGGGACTTAGCAGATCGTGTAATGGTTGCATCGCTGGACTGCCATGTAGTCAACTGCAGTTTGAGTCCCGGGCAAGTGTGCGTGCGTGCCCAAGATCCCAAGAGGAGAATGGAGGAGAAGGGATTGCAGCATGGCCATCTCCTCTGTGGTAATTTCTCACTTTTTGTCTGTCTTTCTGTCTCTCTCTTTCTCTGGCATGTGCATGTGCCCTATAGCAAAACCTCTCTGTAACTCTCTAAAATACATACATACATGCATGAATAAATAAGAAAGATGACAAAAATTGAAAAAAAAAAAAGACGAGAAGGTGAAGAGAGTGAGAAGTTAGGTACCTTGCCTTGTAGGCCTTTTATAATTGGCCTCAAAAGGACAAAGATTGTAGTACTTTCCTGTTTGGTGAATGACACTATTAGAAAGTAAATGATTGACAAATCATTTAGTAATATCTGAAATCATTCTTCTCCTTTGGTCAATGCATTAAATGAATTTTTCACTAAGAAAAATTTGTTTTTAAAATTTATTTTTGTGATTTGTTTTAAAATTTATTTTTGTATCCTACTCTAATGAAAAGGAACAGGAAAATAAGCCTTGTACAAGTTACTGGGTTGTCAGGAAAGTCGTGGCACATTTTTGCATAGAATATGTAGGACTTTCCCGATGACCTAGTTAAGTTTCATTAAAAAAAAAATTCTTACAATTTACACAGTGTACCTGAGGCCCACTCAGGACATATTGGCCCCAACGTTTTGTAGTCCATTTTTGATTTTCAGCAGTGAAAGTTGAAACAGGTTCTATAGAGCTCCACAGGATCTCCTGGTAGCCCGCCTCCGGAGATGTATTTATGCCCGGTTGAGTACTTCATCGAGGTAATGGCTTCTACATCCTGTTGAGATCCTTGTTTCTTTGCCAGTCTTTTAAAAATCAGTGTGCTGCAATAGAAAATGGAGCTCTTCACCTTAGCCAAGGCACTATTGACACAAGTGAGGCTAAGCATTGTTTATTTTCAGTAGCTTTGTGGCTAGTTCGGTTACTGCCTGTACCTGGTTGGCTGTCAATAGGGGGTGAATTTTCTCCCCAAAGTGGGTAACCGTGTTTGTCACATCCATCCAGAGCCACAAGTATCTCGCTCCTCTCCCACCGTACTCCACTGTCCCCTGCCAACCTGCTATGGAAGAGGTTTTCTTTATGTCCTGTTTGCCTGCTATTCAGGGGTTGTCCTGATTGGAGCTTCATATTTTTCAAAAAAAAAAAAGATCTCTGGTCCATCTATCATGTCAAAAGCTAAATTTATTCATAAGAAGATGCAGTTAAATCAGGAAGTGTGAGGATTAAATGAGAGTTTATAGAAATGTGCTTTGTCAGCTTCTGTGCTCTTTACAGATGTTAGTATTTCCTGTGACAAAAAGCTTCCTTAATTTGGAATAGGTTGAAACTATACTTGGAAGCAGGTGAGTGGGAGTGGTGACTCCTAGGAGAGGTCAGAGCTATCAAAATGCATTCTGGGAATCTGTGCCTGTCCCTCATGCCATTGTGATATTGAGCACCACGGCGCATGAGGACGCATGACCTGCATACACTTGGGATACATTTGCAATGTTTTCTCGTTTTCTTTGCATTTGACTGAGATTGCCTAAGCTCCTTTTCTAGGTCTGTTTTCCCCAGTCATTTAGTGTCCTCTGCTGGTAGTTCCTAGTATATTCATCCTTTCAAAAATACTGAGGACTTACAAAAGAATGGAATGAGAAAATCACTGTTTCATAGCCACTCTAGTAATAATTGGTTCGGGCAAGAATCTTCTGGATGCCAAAGCCACTGGTAAAGGTTTGTCAGAGGATCAGGACTTTCACTCAGTTTTAGGAGTCACCCCACAGCCTGCTTAGTATTTCCAAAAGGTGAAAATGTACCTTGGCAAATGGAGAGATCCTGTGAAATGCCTTTTTAACCCAGAAACCACACAGTTAGCATCAGCAATGAGGATGAGCATGCATCTTGCACTCCTTATGTAGTGCCTATGTAATTCATGTCAGCGTGATTCATCTTGACAAGATCATCAGTTAAACCCACATGACAGATTTTGTTGTGGAGTACCTGGTCTAGACTTTTCAGTTATTGATGATATTAAATATATTGGGGAAGGGGAGAATATTGTAGGTTAAATGGGACTAAAAAAGGAAAAAAAAATTGGAAAATGCAGTGTATATACCTTTATTCAAAAGAACAACAGTGGGCCAGCAGGTAGCATAGTGGTTACGGTGGTGGATCCCACATGACCAATTCCATGGTTTGAGTCCCAGACTTGGCAGCCTGAAATACACACTGAGTGTGAGTGTAAGTATGCCTAAAGTCCCAAGAGGAGAATGGAGGAGAAGGGATTGTAGCATGAGTATCCCCACTGGACAGGTGATTTATTACTTTACCTGTCTGTCTCTCTCTGGCAAGAACATGTTCTGTATGGCAAAATCTTTTTTTTTTTTGGAGAGGTTTTCACTATAGGGCGCGTGCGCTCACCAGACAGAGAGAGACATAGAGACAGAAAGTGAGAAATCACCCCCCAGGGGGGATGGTCACGCCGCAATCCCTTCTCCATTCTCCTCTCCAGATCTTGGGCACGCACGCACACGTGCCAGGCGTGTTTTAAGCCACTGGGTCCGGGACATGAACCGCGATCGACTACATGGGAGTCCAGCGACATAGCCATTATACTAACTGCTGGTTCCCTGTATGGCAAAATCTTAAAAAAAAAAAAAAAAAAGTATAACAGTTATAGGGCCAGCATCGTTAGTGGTTAAGAGAGCTAGATCCCTCATAGCTGATCATGGTTTGAAGTCTAGACCTGGCAGCTTAAAAAACATGTCAGCATGTGCATGCATGTCCCAAATCCTAACAGGATGGAGAAAGGGAAGATAAGGGATTGTAGCCTAACCACACCCCACTGGGGAATGCCTTCTCCCTCTCTGTCCTTTTGACTCTCTTTGTCTCTTTGGTGAGCACATGTACTCTCTGGCTTTTAAAATGTAGAACAACTAAAACAGAAATGATGGGGACAGTGGGGATACTTAAAGATGGAATCTGTACTAGATACTGGTATTCCATCTGAGAATTAGTCTGAACGTGGTAATGGCAAGGTGCTTATGTGGAAGGTCTTGACATACGTACCTGCTAAAGTGTTTTGGGATGAAACATGTTTTTTTTTTTTTAATCGGTCTCAATATTTTATAGTACTCTTATGTACATCTTTTTTTTTCAAATAGATTTAACATTTTTTTGTCTTATGAGTATTTTTTTATTAGAAACATGGTGTTTGCTATGACTATTTTCTCCTTTAACCCTTATTAGGGAAAGTTTAAGGAAAGTTTTTTTTTTTTTTTAAGTTTCTTTCTTTCATGAGAGAAAGACACACAAAAGGTACCCTTTACAGGATCTCACCACACCACAATAACACTCTGCCCCAGTCTATCATCCTAGTCAACCAGGATGGCCGGCAAACCCAGTATGTTCAGATCAAGCTGAGATCCAAACCCAGGCCTTCCCATACAGCTCCATTTTGGCACAGCGGTGATCCATCACCTGGGTCACTCCAGCACCTATACCACTGCAGCTGGGCCCAGAAAGGTTTATACAGAGTCAAGTCCTTTGTACAATAGGTGTTGACATTTGGTTTTGGCTGTGATTACATTAAACTGAAAGTCCAAGCTTTTAATTGCTTGTGTGCTCTTCAGATGTCTGTCCTTTGGCTCTGCTGGGCTCTCTTCTTCCCAGGTCCACTTAAAGGAAATGCTTTCAATACTGGGCGGATAAAAAGATTACCACCCATCGTTCGAGGAGGGGCCATTGACAGATACTGGCCCATCGCCGATGGGCGCCTGGTCGAGTATGACATAGATGAAGTGGTATATGATGAAGATTCACCTTATCAGAACATTAAAATTTTACACTCGAAGCAATTTGGAAATATTCTCATTCTGAGTGGGGATGTTAGTAAGTATTCTGATTGTAGAGCACAGTGGTAGTAGTTTGGATAATAGTATTTTTTCCCCCAAAGAATTCTTTATTTGGAGGGCAGCAGGTGGAGTGGTTAGTGGTTAAGGTGGTGGACTCCCATGTGACTAACTACGGTTTGAGTTCTGGATCTAGTGACTTGAAACTCATTCTGGGGGGCATCTGTGTGCTTGCTCAAAATCCCAAGGGGATGAGGAGAAGGGATTGCAGCATGGCCATTCCTCTGGGGGGAGGGGTGATTTCCTGCTTTTTATCTCTGTCTTTTCTCTGTTTCTGGCAGGTGCATACACCCTATAGCAAAAATCTCTCAAAAAAAGAATTATTTATTTGAATTTTATTATTTTTTAATTTGACCAGAGAGAAACAGAGGGAAAGTGAAAAAGAAAGCTGCCAGGTCTGCAGCTTGAACTGCGGTGGGTGATGTGGGAGTGCAGTGCATTAACCATCATGCCACCTGGCAGCCCCTGGATGATGCTGTTTTTCTGACCCATAGTTCCGTTATGGATTTGTTCAAGTTTGTTTTGTCTTTTTTATTTTTGAGATGAACATTTATGTACTGTCACCCTATGAATTTTCTAGATTATCATGTAACTTTGTTTTGAAATTGCTCCTTCTTCGTGATGAGTATTTGAATTGCATTCCAAAAGAAAACGTAATTGGTTATTTAAAAAATTGTGTTATGGAAAAAATTCAAACCTAAGTAGATAAGTTAATGTGATGAACTTGTATGTAATCACCAGAGAGCAGCAACAGTTTTGTCAACTCCTGGTTAGTCTGGTTTCAACCACAGTGCCAGTCCACTTTGTTCTTATTTTGAAGTAATTCCCAGGCACCATATTTCATCTGTAAAGATGCAACTGTGTTGGATTTTTAGTGGATCAGCACATTCTTTTGTTTTTGCTATGGACTTGTACACTTGCCAGGGGGAGAGAGACAGAGAGAAAAAGTGAGAAATCATCTCTCAGGAGTGATGGACCATGTCATAATCCCTTTTTGACTTTCCTCTCGGCATTTGGGGCATACACACATGCAACTGGCATAAGCCTCAAGCAACCATATCTGATACTCAAATTGTGAAGCTGGCCATGTGAGATTCAGTGTCTTACCCTCCACGCCACATGCTGGCCCAGATCACATTTTTTTAAAAGAATTATTTGATTTAGTTTTATTTTATTT